GGGGGACACCCGCCATGGCGGGGAGTGCGAGGGGAAACTGAGGCAGCGAGGGGGAACTGAGGCGGTAAGGCGGAACACCCAGAAAATGGGGATCGGGAAGGGGTTGACCCCATTTTCCAGCTGTAGTTAGTCTGAGGGAGCCCCCTGAGCAGGTTTACCTGATGGCTCCCCTCAGCCGCCATGTTTGTCCTGTGCTGAGGGAAGCGCGATAACCTGACAGAACTGTGCCATAAAAGCGCCTTGTTTCCCACCTGGGGCTGCGTGGGCCTGGCACCGGTGCTTTATTTATCAACAATTCCTCTTTCCTGCAGAAGTTGGTTATGAAAAGCGCCGCTGAGGACATTTCAGCCCTTTGGCTGAGGTGAGGAACAGGTGGATGGTTATTCGCCCCTTTTTGGCCATCTCCGTGGTGGCTTCGGTCAGCGGTGGGGCTCTTCGCTGCGCTCCACTCAGTCCCACCTTGGCTGAAGGGGGATTTGCTCTGTCAGGGGCCGTCCGTGAGGCAAACACCCCTGCGAAACCAACCCTGCACCTCCACCGCCGGTCCCGTGGCCTCGCAGCACACATTCACCCAGAGGAAGCCATTAACGACGGAGCAAACTGTGAGGGAGAATAAAAAATGGAAGGATGGCACAAATTGGGGCTGCCCTCTCCAGTTCCTGCCACATCTTTGCACCAGAAGCGATACAGTACCTCTGAAGAAAAAAAAAAATCAACCTGCGTGTGTATTTTGTGCCTGAGCACCCACATTTGTAACCCGCAGCTGTTGGCAACAGAAAAGCCTTTCACATACGTTGAGAAGACAAAAGAAACGTGTGTGCGCACCAGAAAAAGAGATGCAGGGTTTCCCCTAACAGAAGAAACACGGTGTTTATTCAGGCTGCGCACACACCAGTCAGTACAATATAACTATTCTGGGGAGACGTTGCACAGCGGGTGGCCGAGGAAGAAAAGCTGCATCAACGCGGGCAGCACAGTCTCGCCTTTGTGGCACTCGGAGGATCCAGAAAGGGTGAAGCACTGCAGTTTCATTTATTTTTCCGGCAGAAAGACTTTCTTAACAATCTCAAACCTGACAAAAGGGGTGACGAACAGTGTAAGCCATGTTTCTTGTCGGGAAACAACCCAAAAAGGTATTCCATTGCCTATCTTCACAGAAGGTAAATACAAGGTGGCCTCTCTTCTCTTTCAGACAAGTCGCATTTAAATTACTGATGCCATAAACTTTTAATGAGATATTCCACAAACTCATTTTACAGCAAACAGAGTTTTAACCAATGTGAGCATTTTTTCACAAATCCCCTTCACAGTAACAGTGACACTGAAACAGTGGCAGAATGTGCTTTGGACGGTTTTTTGTTACAAATATGCATGCAAGAGCATTTTTATTTTTGGTCAGAATGGGGTCTCACCAGCTCATGTCTCTCATCACACCCTTCCGCACAGCGCACCACGCAATGGATTTATCGTAATACAACAATACAACAGTCACCCCAGGACACGCACCAGTGCACCTTTTTTTTTTTTTGTAAAATACCACTTTCCTCTCTGAAACGGTCATTTGGGTGAAGGAAGCGCGCATGACGGAGGTCAGGAGCGGCAGAGGAGCCGGCTGCTGCTGGCTGTGCTCCCTCTGCCGGCACTGAAGCTGGGGACTGGGATGTTTCTGAGCTCTGCCCCCCCGGGGATGACTTATTAAAATCAAGGTCTGAAATGTGGAGGACAAGGTATTCCTCTTCCTGAACATAATTACAAGTTAAGAGTGGTGGGAAAAAAAACCCACCCAATCAGCAAGTTTAAGAAGCTCAACGCAAGGAGTAATTTGCAGTGAACGCTTTAGCCTGAGTATGTATCTTGTGCAAGGTAAGAGCAGCATGCTCGCCATTAAAAAAAAGACATAACATCACAGAATGGTTATTCTGAGCATAAACATTCAGTGCACACAAGGGATTTGGAGAATCCTGGAACACCCCCTCATCAAACACCACAAACGACAGCTGAAGGCAGTCGCCTTCCCAAACTTACCACACGAAATATATCCTCAATAAGGCAAATGTGCGAGTGGTGGTTCCTCGTTTATTTATTAGCAGTTTTTGGCCACCACTCGGGTATACTTGCAGTGAGCTTCACTTTATCACCTGCTATATTTAGGCAGAGTGGTTCATTTATATTAGCCAACCTCAGCAAAGCTATACCCAGTTCACCTCCTCCGGCCCGGAACTTGCCAGCCGATTTTCCCGATTCGGTTAAGATCTCAGCGCCCTCGGGAATGCTGTCCTTGGGAAGAGGAGCTGAAAAGTGGACTGGCAGCAGACGTTTGCGAATGACACCCATGTGGTGGGTCCTGGCTGTCAACTCCTGTCCGATGTAACAGCCTTTGGTAAAGCTGATGCCGTTCATGTAGGCCAGGTTTGATTCCAGCGGGAGGGCTACTCCAGGAGGAAGATCTTTCACACCTTCAGGAATTCCTAGGAAAAAAGTAAAAGCAACAGGTAAATGCGGTCAGATCTTCAGTATTTAAGGTTTCTGGAATATGCTTCCTCTATGAGTCGTAAAACCAAGAGAAGCCATAAGAAGCAGTGTGAAACAACGAACTTCCCAGTATTCCATTTTGGGCCTGAGTGAATTCATTAGCCATAAATGATGCTTACTATTAAGGGTAAACAGAGAACTGCACTAGAACCTAATTTCATGAAGCTTACAGCACCCCACAAACATACTGGTGGAAATTCAAAGCACCCCGAACGATGCAGACTCCCCTACAAAGGCATCCACGTACACATTAGTGCCAAAATCCTTCTCACCCACCCCCCACAACGAGACTTTAATGTCACTAAGAGTTATTTTCTTCAGAGCTAAAGCCCAAATGTTAATGTCCAAATGGTGAATGTCTGTATAAGTAGCTGTTCTTTTTGTGACTAATGACAGAAAAACAGTATTTTTTTTAAGCAGAGCGTTGGACCCAGCTTTCTGCAGCAGCACAGCAAGACAAGTGCCGGTGTTTCAGGGATGCGGCACACCCCCACAGTCCAGCCCAGTCTGGCCCATTAACAGCTTGCTTTTATGAACCAGATAGACTCAGGTTTAAGCAGAGGACCATCATCTTTCAGTCTGCCAATTAATTTAATCCACTGTCTGCGTGGACACAGTAAAATCAATGGGAGCTCTGAGCAGGCACAGGGGCTCCCAGGACCGAGTTCCCTCTCAGATCAATCGTCCACCCCTTGGGCTCTGAGTTAACTCCGCGAATCCAGTCATGCATTTTTAGGAAAGTACGTTAGGGTGTTTCCTTTTCCTTCCTTAGCAACAAGGAAAACACAGAGACTGTGTGTAATTCCAAAATAATCAAAATGACTCAAACCACAAAAGTTTCCCTCTAAGAACATGAATAATCCTCGTTTTCTTTTGCTGTTAGCATTCCTGACCTACTGCCCCATAATCTTAGTGATAGGAAACTGTACCCAAATATTGGTTCTGCCACTAGACAGAATTATAACTACCAGATCACTTTTATCCTCAAAGTAGGGAAAAATACCTGTACTTCTTAACAAGTTAAACACATCGAGACATACAAATGCACCTTTTATAATTTATTCTTCTGTCTTGTAACAGTGCATGGACTCTGACAATAAGATGTAACTGTGATAATACATAAATAATTACCCAAAATGTAGTGACACAGAGTGTAAAACAGGACTTGGCTTTACCTTGTTGGTACCTGTGCCTGTGGTAATCCTGAATATTTCCAATCTGACTCCCAGGGATAATCTCCGATAGATTTGCTCCTTTCTTTGTAATCAGTCTCCAGCCCATGACTTCTGTTCTGGGGTCAGGAGTTAAAACCAGAGCCTGGTCTGCACATTTTGTGAGGGAATTGGCAATGTCTCCAGCCCGCTCCCCAGGGACAACAGCCCACAAAGAGAGGTCAAGGCAGGGAGCGATGTTTACTTTCCTCCGGATCTTGTACAGTTTCAGATGTTTTTGTATGGCATCCAGCACACCGCTGTCACACTCCAGCAGGATGCGCGGCTCTTCTTCTGGACTCTCGTGAAGCCTAAAAAAGTAACACCTACAAGGTCAGAAAAACAAATCCCCCACAGCAGCGGAAGCCAACACGCTTTATCTTGATCCTGGTGTGAATCCAGAGGTCTGGGGAATTTCACCCAAGGCTGCTGGTGCACACAAAAGCAGCATTCAGCTCCCTGTGGGGAAACACTTTTTCAGCTGTCTGTTCCAGCAAATACTGCCCTCGCCTCTCCTGGGGACAGAAATAGGTCTGGTCATATGGTTTTCTGTACCAGTT